AAAAAAAAAAAAAAAAAAAAAGAGCCAGGCATGGCGGGCCACCCCTGTAATTCCAGCACTCAGGGAGGCTAGGGCAGGAGGTTGGCAAATTCAAGCCCACACTAGACAACTTAGCATATTAGAGAGACTCTTGTCTCAAAATTAGAAAGAAAAAATTTTAAAGGGCTGGGGATGTTAACTCAGTGAAAAGGCCTTGACTCCAATATCCAGCATGGGGCAGGGGTACTTCTACACAACCTCACCAAGTTGCACAATTAAGAAGAGTTAGGATGGAAAAGCAACCCCCACCCTCGAAAGATGGCAAATTTTGTTCCATGTATTTACAATAATTAAAGCCCCGCCATTTTAACATCTTTGAATTGAAGACATGTCTTACAATTAAAACTGAAAGTATTTCTATGGTGTACAAAATAATGGTGCACTTTATAATTTGTGGCATCTCTGATTTAATAATAGTAAAGTATAACCAATGGGAGGAAAATAACTCCATGAAGCTTTTCTTAGGCTCCTTAAATAGATTCATTTCTTCTCCTATGAAACCCTAAAGTCCCAAAGGTCACAATACCCCGAGCTGGCTGTGTCCTTCACATCAGATGATAGGAAATGGGCCTTGTATCAGCTTGTGTACCACAATGTAGCTGGCTACCAGCAGTGCCTACAGATTGCTGAGTCAATAAAGCTTATTTATTCTTTAGGGATCTGGAAGACTCTAATCCCTCTTTTTCATTATATATTCCCAGCAGCACTCAACAGTCTGTTCACTTTGCACTTCTATAGTACAATGCCTCGGGAGGGGGGGAAGCACAAAAAAAATTTAATAAATTGATTGTTCCGCATTTGAAAAATAAGATCTGAATGACACCAGCAGAGCAACAAACAAGTTATATCATTACAATTAAAATATGTGAAAAAATAAAAATGAACATAAAATCATTTGGAGAAATTTGGAAACTTGCTTTATGACCAATTTATTTCAAAGGATGTTAGTCATATTAAATATATTTAAACTGGGTCCTTGGGACACACCTATATGCCCAGCACTCTGGGAAGCTGATGCAGAAGGATCAGAAGTTTGCGCCCAGCCCCCACAACTCAGTGACTTAAAGGTAAGTACCTGTTCTTAAAAAAAAAGAGAGAGAAAAAAAAGCCGGGGGGTGGGGGGTTGTAGCTCAATGTGAAGGCCCTGGGTTTAATCCCCAGTGCCAAAACAAAAACAAAAACAAAGCAAGCACTACTACTGGGTTCTCGTATGTTCCATTACTCTATATGGCAAAAATGTAGTCTTTTTTTGGTGGCTTGCAAGGCAGGCAGTGGAACCACTGAGCTAAAGAAATCCCCAGCCTGCTTACAGTCTTCATTATTATAACTTTATAGTTATGTTTTGAAATTGGCTTTCAGTTTTATATAGTTATAGCTCTGTTCTTATAAAATCAGTAGAGTTATGCTAGGACCATGAATCAACATATAAATTTTGAGATCAGCTTATCAATTTCTATAAAAACAGCCTGCATGAATTTTTTTTTTTTTTGGTATTGGGGATCGAACCTGGGTCCTTGCACTTGCAAGGCAGGTGGCGGAACCACTGAGCTAAATCCCCAGCCCCAGCCTGCTTGAATTCTGATAAGAGTTCCATTGACATTTTAGATTAATCTGGAGGCATCTGTCATCTTATTTCATTCTGTAATTGTTTGATGCTAGTATACATATCATCTTTTCATTCTTTTACTTTCAACTTTTTTTTTTTTTTGGTTTTTTGAAACAGGGTTTCACTATGTAGTGAGACTGACCTGGAACTCACTATGTAGCTCAGGCTGGTCTCGAATTCACAGGGATCCTCCTGCCTCAGCCTCCCGAGTACTGGGATTACATGTGCGCACCACCAAGCCTGGCATCAACCTTTTTGTGCCTTTATTTCAGGTATATTGTTTCTACACAATATAAAGCTGAATCCTAGAAAAAAAGCTGAATCTTGTTTTGTACCCAGTCTATCTCTGCCTTTTTCTGTTAACA